TTTAGAAATGCCTTTGGAGCAGGGAAGAAAGGTTTAACAGTTGGAAAGTCTTGATTCTGGATTATCGGATGAGCTTTATACACGGACTCTGAATGTGCAATCCAGTAACAAATTCCTTCCTCACATTTACACTTTCTATTTTGAACACCAGGAGTTCTCAAACAGCTCAGCCCCATTATCTGTTCTCTTTTTAAAGCTGAATTCAATTCAAAAAGCATTGGCAACAAAAAAGCAAAAAAAAAAAAGTGTAATTTGAATTTCTGAATGCAGGTCAACAAGGTGAAAATGCATCAAACAGTGAATGAATGTATTCATTTTTTGAATAGAGGTAATGGGTTGGATCCAAAGGCACACATTCCAGAACCCTGTTGTGAATAGGTGTGTCTTATGCACATATATTCCCTGTCATGAACAGGGTACAAGGCTCTGTTTTCTAACCATTAGTTCCCTGACCGAAACCTTTCCCTGGCAAGCCCTGTGGAGTAGAAGCAGGGAAAGAGGAAGGTGACCAAGCATCAGGGACTTCTTTTTCTCTCCCTCCAGAAAGACCGTAAAAGGAACAATATACTTGCTACTCTTCTCCTGTCTCCATTGAACAGGACTAAAGACAAGAGGTTGCCCCAGTTGCTCAATAATTTGCCTCTTTCTCTTATCTTCTTTGCTGCCATAATGGCCATAACAGTATCCCCATGGGGCTTGGCACTGTTTTCCTAGACCAGTTATGCTTAACCATTGTGTCTGCATTCCTGCTTCAAGAGTACATAATATGTAGCTTCACTTCTACACTTCTTGATCATTTTGGACAAATTCTGCCTCTCCCAGTACATCCTTTCCCCTATCCCTTGTGAGACAGGGGGGATATGAGAGAGAGAAAATGAGAGAGAGAGAGAGAGAGAGAGAAAACATACTGCTACCAACACCAACACCAACACCAGCAGCAACAATAGCAGCAGCAGACCCAAATTAATCAGAATATATGACCAAAAAATTTCAGAATAGTTAAACACATTCTTAAATACCCTCTGTTTAAACAAATCAAACTGGATAATGTTTTGCTTTGACTAGGTTGTACTCTGTATATGTGCAATGATGAATCCTTTATGTGTGTAGAATCCTTTATGTGTGCTTTGTTAGAGGTGTAAAGCTCCTTGCTATTTTGTCCTTCCATGTGAGGATGGATCATCCCTGTAGTTTTCTCTCAACTGAAGGAGAAAACAAATATGTGTGTACAGTTTTCATCTGGTGTCCATAGGTTTCAGCAAAAAGGTGGGGTTTGGGGCATTTTATTTTTAATATATGAAAAGCATGTGGTTGGGTTTTGTGTGTGTGTGTTCCAAGAAACACTTCTGGTGCAGCCCCCCAAAACACTCCCCATATTGTTTTCAAAAGCACACATGTAAAAGTCACACATTTATTACAAAATAATCAACAGTTTTACACATACACATACACATACAAATGTGTATTTCCAGTAGCAGTGAGGTTTATATGTATGTGGAAAATGTGTCTGTGTGTGTTTTCCCTCAAACCACATGATTTTCATGTATGTATATTTCTACACATAACAATTTCCCAAAATGCTTTGGGATGTGAGAATCCCAAGCAAAACTGTACAAAATATTTGCTTCGGTGTTATTCTTCCAAGGTTCTTCTTCAAGAAGTATCAACATTTTTTTTTTCAGGGGAATATCAGGAAATGAATGACAACCAATATTCTTCCGGATCTATGCTACTTATCTGCTATATCATAATGCTGGTTGCTTATCATACCATTCTGAATTGAAAGTTTTAGATGGAGCAGAGGGTGAGCCTTAGTGGGGGGAAAAAGAGCAAACATTATTTTTATTGCTTTTATTTATAGGTTTGCAAGGATCTGACCCCTTCCTTTTATGTTTATATACCCTAGAGCACCAAATCGTTACAGCTGACCCCTTGTTTAATAGCATGGTTTCACTCATGAAAAGGGAAAGTAGGTCAATTCCCCTTAAAATCTATGGACTAATGCAAAGTCTTAACCCTGGTCTCTGGAGAGTTGTGGGGTCCCTGCCTCTATAACCTTAATATACCTTAATATAGTTGTGAGCATCAAAAGAAGGTTTTGATTTAAAAACAAAAGAACTGTAGAGCTATACAGTCTTGGCAAAAACACAAGATATGCAGGAAACCATACCAAATGCAGAAAAGTGAACAATTGCTTTGATCTTGGACATAGCAATTTTAACAATCACATGATTTCCTTAACAAGAATTGAACAGGAATTCATTAATGAAGCACTGAAACTCCATAGAATGTAAAGCTAGTGCTTCCCAATGGGAAACATATCATATCTGGGGCCAATAAGTGGCCTTGTTAGTTTGCATTTATGAATCTGTTTGCTTTTCTATATAGGATGGGTTGGACAAAAATATTTGTAATGATTAATTACTATACCAATCCTGCCCCCCCCCCCCAAAAAAATAGACCCACACAGATTTCCCAACAGTTGGGTAACTCCATCAGGAAGAATAATAAACCAGTTAGAATTTGGTGCATTTTTCTCTTGGTATTCTAATGTCCTGTAGTGTTAAAGATGGATTATTCTAAAGAGAAAAAAACACATAGACACACCTGTTTTCTGAGCATAAAATGGATTTCCTCTAAGTAGCAATTGTGAATGTGGAACAGTTACCTGCTGTTAGGGAGAGTTCTGGCCAGGAGCAGTTATTTGGTTAAGTATATTTAACCAAGTAGCTGCTGTTAAATACAGCCTACTATTCCCTGTGGAGAAAAAATATACCATATTTTTTCTCCCTGAAAAATAAGTCCTCCATCAACACTTTGTAACATGCAAATACAGGGAGAATATTCTCCCTACAGTGGGGAGAAACCTATCATAATTATTTGGCTCCACATGCAAGGATGAAATAGTGGAGGATTTGCATTCCCTAATATGTGCAAAGGCTGGGCCTAATTCAAAGGAGATCTAGAACATTAGAACCAATGTACATATCAAAACTTAACTAACCAGCAGATTTTGCAATTAAATATTGCAGTGCAAATCTTAACTCTAAAAGAGAATAAGGTACAAATTTCATTTTTTTTTAACAAAAGAGAACAATCACATTACCGATATGTAATTTTGATAAGCCACACACATTTATATTTATATTTCCATTAAAATATGTCAGGATCATAGAATATTAGATCTGGAAGGGGCCATATAGTCAAACCCCTGCAATGCAGGATTACACTCCAGAAAGATGTGTATCTAACCTCCAATGTTGGAGATTCTGAGGAATTCCATTCCATTGTTGAACACTTCTTATACTAACCATTTCCCCTTATATTGTTTAGGTGAAATCTCTTTTGTTGTCATTTGAAAACATTATAATCCATATAGCTATTATGTTTGCTTTGAACAAACTTTTTTCCTTTGAAAAACCTAGAGTAATGTGGAGATTACTCTATAACACAGAGTACTGTGGACATGAATTATGGATTAAAACAAAAATGCAAGGAACCAAAAAAAAAAAAAAAAAAGACAGACAATGCAATGTAACTCTCACATGACAATGACAGGCATACTATAAAGAGAAAAAGATGACCATACCAAAATTTCATTTCAGCTTTCATTTGTAGGTGTATCCTCAAAATTCTGTGAACGCCCATTTCTCAGGACTTTCTCCCAACCTATAATGATCATAAAATTGTCAGAAGGATTCACAAAAAACAATTGTCCTTGAGGCTTGCTGGGAGATCTAATTTCTAGTTACTTTTCTCACTGGACTGATATAAAGTTGGGAAGGTTATATATAATTTCAGTCATAAAAGATCATCTTCATGATAGCCATAAGGTAAAATCTATCCACAGGAATTCTGTCTCCGTTCCTCTCTGTGGAACCATCCTAGGATGTCAGAATGGCAGGGACACATGGCATTGCCACAAGGCAGGTCAGCGACAAAGGAACAAAACCACTGGAATAATTGTCATTTGGCTTCATGTGTCACCAACTGTACTAAGAAGTCAGAGACACAAGAAAATGTGCACATCCATCTGACCTTACCAGTGTGGTGCGATTAATTTTGTTTTAATATTTCTGGGTTCCATTTCCTGCATCACTGTGAAATCATACCTCTTTGCTCACATCTCATTCATCATCTGAGCTAGATTCATTCATCTCTGCCTCACACTTCAAAAGACTTTCCAGATTTAATGGCTATATTGTACAACATGCACCAGAGGCCCTGTGCTTGGGACAGTCTCTCATGTACAAATCTGGAAAGTGCATTGAGGAAGCAGGGCGACAGATTTTTTAAAAGCCAAAGGCTGTCTTCATACTTTGGAGAACACTATCAATTCAGCCAGCAAAAGGAACCATGATGCATTGGCATTAGTAAACAAGTTAAGAGGGAGAGGAGGAACATTAAACTTCATATAGATAGAAGAAAATAGCTATAATTCTGTTTGTGATACATCAACATATATCTTGGGATTATATGCAATAGCAATATTATTTACATTTTTATACCATTTCATAGTGAATTCAGCACTATCTAAGCTATTTACAATCACTTGTAAGCCAATTGCCTCAACAAGCTGGGTAGTCATTTGATTGAACTATAATTGTATGGAAGACTGAGTTAACCTTGGGGCCCTGGGATTGAACTCACAACCTTGTGGCTGCAATACCAGCATTTAATCACTGTGCCACCAGGCACATACATCCTTTGCACATACATCTTCTTCTCAATGGAATGCAAGGGGCTATTCATTCGATCATGAGTAGGTAATGTTCAGCCCATATGCAATGTTCAGCTCAGAGCCATTTTTTTGGCCACCAGGGTTCCCTGGGGAATTCAAAATGCATTTGCTGCTGTTGTTGTGTGCCTTCAAGTCATTTCCGATTATGGTGACCCTATAATGGGGTTTTCTTGGCAAGAGTTCTTCAGAGGAGGTTTGTCATTGTCGTCTTCTGAGGCTGAAAGAGTGTGACTTGCCCAGGGTCAGCCATTGGGTTTCATGGCTAAGCTAGGAATTGAACCCTGGTCTCCAGAATTTCAATCCAACACTAAAACCAATATGCTACACTGGCTCTCTCAAAATGCATTGTTATTTATTTTGCCCACAAATGCCCTCTAGTATGAGAGGTATTTCCACCATATTTTGCACATATTCTGGGACAGCTTAGACTCAAGTTTTTTTCAATAATAGAAAGTAAACAAGAAGAAACTTTATTATTATTATTATTATTATTATTATTATTTTAAAAAAGAAATCTTCTAGATCTAAAATAGCCCAGGAAGGCCAAAGAAAATGGATAAAATGTCCCTCTGGTCCTGTAGAGGACATTTGGGGGCATATTTTGTGGGTGAAAGTGCAGCAAGGGGTTGTGACACTCCAAGGTTTCCTGGGGGGGGGGAGAGGGAAATGTTACCTTCTACCCTTCCACAGTTGTCCAGTCTGAGTTACATCCTTGCATGCCATCCAAAAATTCTCCCAGGCCACAATTATGGGACACTGTTACCACCATTAAAATGCCAGGAGAAGGAAAGGGGAAGTGACTGAGCAGTGAGGATGGCCACCCATTTTGCTGTGGTTCTTGAAACAGAAAAGCAAAATGAGAACTGAGATTCTGCACCCTAGATTGTGATGTGTAATGTTATGATGATGCAGTTATGTCACCAACATAATACACAATGACATTACAGAATTGTAATGATGAACAATGTTGCATTGTAAGAGATGTCCTTTTGCACAACAGAGCTCTCATCATATAATGGGACACCATGGAAGATGTCCTGTTGCACACCAGAGTATCCCCTTATCAAGATTTAGCTCAAAAAAATCATCATGAAGGGATGTTCCATTCATTCTTTTTGACACTTTGAAAGGGCCTGCATAGGAAAATGGAGGTATTTGGAGTCATATGCAGGTTTTTGGGGAGGGAGGGTATTTAAAATTCCCAGTTTTTAGTGCTTTCACTAAAGTACAGACTCCAGGATCCCATAGGAAATTGTCATAGCAGTTAAGATTGAATGGCAACAGAATTACAACAGTTGGTGCCAACAGGAAAGTCAAAGGAAGAGCATTCCATAAGCGGGGTGCCCCAGTTTGGAGTACTGAGTAGGTAACACATTTGCTTTGCTGAAAGTGTAGTATGCAACTTAGCTCTATGATCCATCATCCACAAGTGACATCAATGCATGCCATGCTCTGGACTGAACATCATTTTTTTTTTTAACTAGACCTCCAAAACTTCTGGACCAAACAGGAGCTCAATAGAAGCAATCCGGGGGGGGGGGGGGGGGGGGGGGGGGGGAATTGCTAGGAAAGTGCCTTATAGAAATAATTTGATCTACCTTGGCCTGCCAGTAATTTGTAAAAAGAAAAAAAAAAGAAAGAAAGAATTGCTTTGAAAGTATCAAAAGAATATCTCCTTGTTTTATAAAAAGGAATCTGTCAGAGTTCGTGTTAACTCATGACAAAGCTTTCCATTTTTCACTGACCCACCCCTTATCATTAGGTAACCTTGAAATCTGAAAAAGCAGCTCAGTTTAAAGAGAAACAAATTGGCATGGCTGGTAATATGAAATCTGAAAGTTCTCTACCTGGCCTAAATTAGAATTCACTCAGTAATATGCCATGTGCACCTCTTGCTCTTCTCTGTGATGAGTAATTTCCCTGGCAATTTTAAGTAATTTTCCTACATTGGCTCAGTGTGAGCGTCCAGCTTACAAATGCTGGGAAGTGATTCCATTTGACGCAGTGGCATCTAGTGGCTTCTATGTCCGTGGAGAATCTGCTCCGGTTTTCAGTCTGAGCTTTAAAAGATCTGTCCGAGGTTCTCAATTTATATAGGGGGTTTAAGGTTCAGCACCATGGATAACTAATAAAATGATTTACAGCAGGAATAAATGTAAGGTACTACATCTTGGCAGGAAAAATGAAATGCACATATACAGGATGGGTGACACCTGCCTTGAAAGTAGCACATATGAAAAGGATCTAGGAGCCTTAGGGGGTTATGACACAGGGTTTTTTTTAAATTGTGATTATACCCTCCCCCTAAAAAAAACCCTGTTTTCAGTGATATCGCACAATGTCACCTCTGATCCATAACTGCTGGATCTCCATATTGTAGTTAGGGCAGGGTGACCAGACATCCCCCTTTTCCAAGACATGCCCTACATTTCAGCCTTCTCTCTAGGAGGAATTCCAAAATGTCTTCCATTTGGAGCACTGCAAAGAGGCATGAATAAATATTTACATGAGTATTTTTAGCTTTTATTTTGTAATCTCCTGCATTTGTCTTGAATGTTTGACATCTTGTGGAGCTTTGTCCTACTTTATGGTTAGGATATCTGGTCACTCTTGATGTCCATAATAATGTGAGTTCATAGCCCCAGTGCGACTAAGCCAATGTCCACAGAGGGGGAAGGAGATTTTGTAGTTTTATTTGCTACAGCGAATAAATACCAGTTGTCTCATCAACCAAAAGACTGACACAAAGAAAAGAAACAGACATTCATGTATGTATACTTTTCCATATGATACTCACATAACATCCTATCTCTCCATAGCCATAGTGTTATGGGTTACATTTCATGAGCATCCATACAAAACAGGTCATATATTCCTATCCCATAATGATCCTGTAGTGCCTAGTAACTCAGAAATTGAGAAGGAAGCCTTTTGGCAGAGGTGTGTTTTAGGACTTATGATGTCGATAAGACATCCAGGCTTCAGGAGCTCTGAACAACCCTGGAAAGCATATAAACTGTACCAGGCATCGTCTAAACCCTGGTGCCTGTCATCTATTTTATTTTTAAAAACATTATTCTAACTCCTTGAAAGTTTGCACTAAAATATGGAATGCATTTATTGGCTCCCTGACATGGAAGCCACCCACTGCCATTGATTCAATAGCTAAAGTGCACACTGATGCACTTTAAAAGAAAGAGAAGAAAAAGCATAGATTGGATTATACAGCCAGAGCAGCTTTGACTAATTCAGGAAAGATTTGGGGAAATGGCATTTGCTTTCTTTAATAATTATACTGTGAATGATATAGTAAAGCATAGCTTTATTAGTTTTGGCTGTAAGCCATCATAAAAATTAAATAACATATTATCAATTAAAGGGAAGGACACATGGGGCCAATTGAAATCCCTATAAATCTTTGTAGAAACACAGATCCAGCCCCAGGACTTCATAATCAGAAAGAACAAAACAATGCACAATTGGAATATACTATTTAAAGTTCTTCTGAGGATTTATACACTGCCTTACAAGAGCTCAGATGCTTCATAGTATTTGCTTTCTTTATCTTTTCCTTTCTTCCTCTCTTCAGTTTGCACTCATTTTCAATATTTAGTCCAATACTACATTTAGTCAGTGCAACTATCAATGTCAGTAGGGAAAGTATGAAAAACAACAGGTATGATGCTTTTAAAAATGGGATCTGGTATTGATCCGATTTGTTTGGGGAGAGCTATGTGATTCTGAACCCTATGAACATTAGTCTGAATTCTCTTTTCCTTGTTTTTCAAGAATTCTTCTTTGTCTGTATTACCCACTCAGGTATCCTTATGCTTTCATTTTATTGGATTAATATATGATCTCTCACCTTGTTTTTTTTTCCTGTCTTCTCAAAATAGCAAGTGCATATTATATCTGCAAAAACCTTCTCTTGTTCAGAGGAGATTTCTTAATCCAGAGGTCTGCAGTAAACTGTGAGCAGGCAAAGGATAGCCATTTCTTCAGAGACATAACTAACTGAAACTGGCATGCAAATAATATTAAAGTAAAAGGGTCATTTTGTGGCTCTGGGGGAGAAACACATATGGCTCATTGTTGCAGAACCTCTCAAATTTCATCTTCAGAAGAGCTCAGTGCCATCTCTACCCAGGTACTGTTCTATTCATTAAACAAAAAGCATTTCAGAATAAATGAGGTGTAAAAGAATTATCCCCATTCAACTTACAAGAAAAAAAGCAGCAGGGGGGGCATCCTAGTTTGAATTCAATGCTGTCCCAGAACACTACCTGCTAGAAACCAGATGTCATGTGATGGCCTTTGAACATCCAACTAGGGCACCCCAGTATGAAGTATCTTAGTGGTGCATCATAAATCTATGACATTAGGAGTGTGATGGATGAATCCATACCATTATTTTAGAATATGATTCTTACATCCCAAGTCCTCCAAATCTTTTCTACTATTTGAAGATGATGATGATGATGATGATGGAGAAGAAGAGCAAAAACAATAACAACACAGTTGGCCTTTCTTTGCCCTTTGAGGTTAAAGTGTTTTCTTTTTTTTAAGCTAAGACATGCCTAATTTTTCAGACCAAGCCATAATTCTTCCATTTACTTTTATTTCTCATTGAAAAGAAGCTATTTGATGTTCTAAGCAAGATGCTAAAAGGGCTCTGGCATATGAGAAGAGCATAAGTCACTGTGAGTGACTACTGCCAACAATAAACATAATAAATGTGATGACCTTCAATTTGTGGAGAGAACTGGCTACTTAACTAATCCCTTTCTCATTTCAAACTCTAATGGGTCAAATAATGATAAAGGATGCATTAAAACAGAGTGGCTCATTCCATACCATGTGCTGCCTTTCCACAATATTTGTGTATATCAGAAAGATGTCAGTCTTACTGCCTGTATGAATCAGTTTACTTGTAAATCTGATTTCAGTCTTAGATGAATTTAAAGACCCATACAGCTATGAGTAAGAAGCATATATGTTGCCAAAAGAAGAGGTACCTTTTTAACAGCTCCATGATACCACCTGTCATCCAGATTAGTCCAATAGTAGGGTCAAAAAAGGTCCTCACTTCATTTCCAACATACCAAGGAGAGAATAGAGATGTGGAGTATACAACACTTTCCAGAGCAGTGTCCCTAACATCTGCAAAAAAGAAAGAAAGAAAGAAAGAAAGAAAGAAAATTCTTGAATATTACACAAGATCTTCTAGTCGTATATCTTCTTCCCGTGTTGACTAAGACCTACCCACCCTCAAATCAAGCTCAAGAAAGGAAAGGAGAACGAAGCAGATATGAGGCTAAGCAGGTACATATC